TTATTTTTTTATTTAAAATGAGGTTATGTAGGTATCTTTTTAGAAGTGAAACAACATATAACAATAATATTTATTAAAACACACAATTACAAATTAGTAAGTTTTTAATGAATTTACAATACAAGAATTATTTTATTTCAATTTTTGTTCCTACGTACAAATTTTTGACTTCAGATGAGTTTTAGCAAATGCCTGTTGTAAGTCACCCGTTAAGCACAATGCTGCCCAATTGCTTATATTACCTATGTATATAATTAAATACTATTAACGTCACATCATAAAAACTAGATGTTTATATTTAATGATTTTATGGTTTAAAATTTGTATGGGAAAGGTTATCTGCTGCGGGATTTAAATATTTAATGGCTAGAAGAATCAACAGTGACTGTCTAGAAAAATTTGTTGGGTCCATTAGGCAACAGGGTGGGAATTTAATTAATCCAACACCTGTACAATTTGAAAGGGCATTTAAAAAACTTTTTTGTCAAAATTATCTTCATTGCAATTCCATGAATTGTAATGAAGACCTGGACAAACACTTGCTACAATTAGATGTAAAAAATATTGTCTCTCTGTATCCTGAAATAAATAAAAACACTCGAGAAGCTGTGTTTCTTCCTAATTACAGCTACAGGACAGAAGATGTAATAGTTCAAAATCCATTTAAATATGTTTGTGGCTATTTGATCAAAAAAGCTTTAGGCATACATGGATGTAATACATTTATTAAATTTTCAAAAGAATGTGAAGATTTGGATAGTTAACAGATTTTAACATATGATTGCAAATAAAGCACTTATGGAGGCCTAAAAACTCCAAATGAAAAGTTTATTATCTATATATTTAAATTATAAAAAAATGTTATATCTATTTTTAGCAATACCTGTGTAATGTCTGGTATATCGCATAGCTTTTTTTGATATTATGAAAGAAATAGAATTTAATCATCCTTGTCCTAATTTCCCTAACGTATATATATCATACAACTATTTATAAGTTTATATATATTATTGTTTAAGTGCTTAAATATTGTATAAATGAAACAAATCAAAAATTAAAAAACAGTTAAAATAATAACACCACAAAATACATTTTTTTGTTTTCTTTTTGCTACTTTACAAGAAATACATATATATTTTGATTAGATGTAGTCAATCAGAACATTTTTAATCAATGGACATAGTGAATCAAAGAACATCTAATTCATTATAATAATTTGGAGGTAGGATTTTTGATTAAGAATGTCCAAAGGTTGCACATGGTACGCTTTCAAAAATGTCTCCATGTTCAATGATAGTCTCAACAGAGGAAGCACTTGGTCAATGTATTAGGGAGAAGATAGACATTTGGCTGATGACCTAGATGGATAAAAAATGTGGGAACAGCAGTAGGCAATAAACGTTTACGGTTCAACGTTTTAGAAAAACAATTCTTCTCAAAATGTTTCTCACACAACCTGTAATTCCGATGAAGACTGTTCACATCTATGTTACTCAAATCTTCCCTATTACAAGCTCTTAACCACATGTTGGCCCTAAAATATAAAAAAGTTGATAACAAATGTTTAGATTGACGGTAGTTCAGAAATTATATATTTTTTACATTATTTTTGTTGAAATTGTAAAAATTGTCCTCCAGACAAATGGTTTGGTTGTCAAATAAATATTTGGTTTTCAAATATAAAAATTGAAAGTATTTTCTTAAGACATACCTATCTGGCTCCATGGGAAATGCAAAATAACTTGTCCCTTTGTCTGTTTACTCTGTTTGAGATGGACAAGGGCGATAGACACATCTCTTTCTTTTCTGATCAGGTGCAGAAGCCATTTCAAAAATATCACACAATAAATGAAAAACTAAAATAATAAAAATGTCTCAAAATATGCACTGCAAACAAACAAAAATAATGACATATTTACATCGCATTGACACTATTGACGTTGACGTTTTTGTCGCTTATTTTCGGACATGCGCAGAAAAATATGGACCCCTCATAAAAAATGATCTGTCGCTACTGTATTGTTATATATACTGGGACTAGAGGCAGCACCTCTCGGATATTTTGTCTCTCTCTGGGAGGACTTGTTCAGACTTCTCTGTTCCATTGCACGCCCTTAAGTATTTAAATACAAGCTGATTGAAGACAAAATATATTTCGTTTTTATAAAAATTGTATCACTATTGGGTTCTTATTGCCTCACCGGTTTTTCATTTTAAGTAAATCATTTAAGGTATGCAATACCTAATACATAATATTGCTATATTAGTTGCCTACTTCTGACTTCACGCTATTGTAAATAAGTAAATAGCACTGATAAGAAATTTGTTTATCTGAGGTAAACAGAGTAATATGATTAATATTAATGAATTGAAAAATGTTGTGAATATCTTTGATAATATATCTATCTATTTATATGGGAGCCTTGTATTTTTCTTTTTAAATAAGCGTGAAGCAATGCTATGTAGTTATATAGAATGCTCGTCCATATTTAAATAATATGACACGATGGAAAGAAGGTTCCATTGGGCGAAGTTTTCTATTTATCTAAGGACCTATTCCACTGTTGTGTTAAAGGAAGTTTAAAATGACATTTTTACATTAACAATGTCATTTTAATCTCCGTTTAAACGGAGGAAAATGCTTATTGCTCTTATGTAAAAAGGTATGTGATCAATCATGAAACAATTCTTTGTAGAAGGCAAATACCAAGAAAATGAAGCATTTACTTCAATAGATAGGAGCAGTATTAAAATCAAACGAAATAATATAAATAAACATGTAAGTACCTAATATTGTATACTTTTTGGAACATTTATATTATAATAATTGTTTTTATTTATTTCAGGTTTACTACCACTGCATGCTTCATCTATACACCTGAAAGCAGAGGTAGCCCACAGCCTCACTAAGAAAATATCCCCCTCTGCTAAATAATTTATCTGGAACAGTTAGAAAATGACCTGTAATATTTAATTTTTTTATTTGGTACAGTAAACTGTGTAACAATTTTGGATAAATGGAAATTTCTGAGAAGCAAAAGTACCACTGGTACATTGATTTTGTACGTAAGACATACACAGGAATCATAAAAGTAACAAAAACGATATCCTTTTTACAATATTAAGTCGACGGACTTAGGGCCGATTCCACCGTTGTGTTTAACGGAGATTAAAATGACGTTGTTAATGTAAAAAGGTCATTTTAAACTTCGTTTAACACAACGGTGGAATCGGTCCTAAGAAAAGCATAGCTCGATTGCTATAGAAGAAGAAAGTAGGGAGATATGCAAGAGTTTTGAAAATGTACACTGGCAATGTAATGTTAATACAATTAACACAATTGTGTAATCTTTGAAAACGAGAATATTGGTGGAGGTGGTGGCAGTATAATACCCATAGGGGTTATTTTTTGAACAGAAAATATTCAGCAATTTCCTACTGTTTAACCACTAAAAGAAGACTCATTTGTAGATGAAAAATACATCTGTTTTAGTTAAAAATATAACAACTACATATATATAACCTATTTAAAAAAATAACTGTTATACAAATTCAACGTGTCTGTCTCAGATAAATTATAAGATAAAAACCAACTATCTTTTGCAGCTTGCCTGCAAGAGTATATTCCTCTGGTAATATCTTTTAGTTAGAGCTTCTTCAATCTCTCATTTCTTTGTTTTTATTTTATAGTTTCACCATATTTACAGCTGAAAAAATGCAAAATATATTACTAGATTGTTTAGCCTTAAAGATTTTTATTACATTACAATAAAAAAATGTTTGTACATGGGCATGGGACTGGCGAAAAATATCATAATATTAAGGTAAAATCATATGCACAGCTTTAGAAAAAATTTAAAACTACTCACCTCTATTTCAAGATACACTCGCAATTATAACTACTTTAGTTCAAAGAAGTTTCTTGTATATTATTTAAAATAAATAAACGTTTCTTCAACATTTGTTCCTTCATTTTAAAATCTCAAAATACCAAGATGTAGGCTACCAGTTTAACATTTTGGAAAATGTGTCGCCTAACCCAATAGTAATTGCATCAAAATGGCCGCGCCTTATGTTGGGCGTGTCGGACTTGTGGTCGGACCTCTCTCTTGCACCGTATAGTAATCAAAGTATGTGTTTGGGGGACACTTTTTGAGACACAACCGTATGAGATTGTCCTCCTTCTCTCTATACCCTCCATAGTAGATTATTATTCACACGCCTGTGAAATAGGGCACTTCCCATAATATTAAATAGTGCGGTATGGGAGGTGGGTGACTCAGTGGTAGAGTCTCTGCCTGTGGATCCAAGGGTCCCAGGTTCGAATCCCACCGTTGGCCGGGATTTTTTTTATTTAATTTATTTATTTAAAATTAATTCTGATGCCTTGGTAGGATTCCCCACTCGACCATTCACTGTTGGGTTCTAATTAACAGTGCTGTTCCTAAAGTGGCACAAGGAAACAGTAACAAGGCCTGTCTGTAGGGGTGTAGGAGTATTAGAGTACTAATACTCCTGCACTATGGAGTATTAGACTACTAGTACAATCCATAACCTACATAGAACACTAGGCTAATGACCTTAGATGTTGAAGCCGTAGACCAAAGAAAAAAAAATAGTGCGGTATGAATTAATTTCCCAAGTGATCGTAGAAGCAATATGTTTTTAAAATATTATAATGACTTTGTCATGAAATAAAAATTATTTTAAATATTTTTTTCTATATATTCAATATATTGAAATTATATTTTAAAACACAATTGGGCCAGAACAGTTCTGTTAAGTTAGTACTTGGGACTCTTTGACTTGGGCGACTCGCTTTACGTGTGTCTTTTTATCCAACTGTTGCAGCAACGTTGGCATCGGTGCGGTATGTCAACTGTTATTTATTTCAACGGTCAACCAGAATCCAACACAAAACGTTCAAGGCCGCATCGGTGAAACAACGGTTGCAACAAACCGGTGGAAAAAAAGACACACGTTTTGCGTAGTCTTGTTCACATAAATGTGAGCAATCTATATAACATTTTACATCCATTGGTTTGGAGTGATCGGAATGGAAGTGGTAACGAACATACGGACAAAGCATTGTTTTCTAGTTCTAGATTTCTCCACAAGTCGCCATCGCCATATTGACACATAAATTTTGACTTTCCAAAAATTGGATAAGGCAGTGGAAAATATTGAAAAAATGCCGGTTAGGGTGGATATAACACCTCCCCTGCCGGCCAATTCGAAACAGCCTGGAGTTACCAAATCTTTATTATATAATGGTTCAAAATTCCAAGGATTTCAGAAGTCAAAAGGCAATAGTTACGAAGTGGAAGTAATTTTGCAGGTTAGGAAAGTTATTTTCAAATGGAAATAGCTTACTAAATATTTTATCATTCGCGTAGGCAGATATTCACTTTCCATAATTACTGCCTTTATTACGAATATTTATATTGAGAATTATTTTCCTTGGATTCAGCAATATTTATGTTGCATATGTTTTGTAATAAATATTTATTTTTTAGCATGTTGATGAAGAGAACTCATATTTATGTGGATATTTACAAATCAATGGACTTACTGATGAATATCCTAAACTGACCACATTTTTTGATGGTGAAATAATTAGTCAAAAATATCCATTTTTAACAAGGAAATGGGATGCAGACGAAGATGTTGATAGGAAGCATTGGGTACATTTTTTACTCTTTTAAATTACCTTCAAATGTTATTGGGAAGCTTTTAGTTTGAGCCCTTCTCGATTTCATGAAGAAAGTTTATTTTAAGTGTCCAGGTGTCACATTTTCTCACCTCACTAATGCAATAGAGAATAAAGATGCTGTTAAATAATATCTAGTTGTTTAAGTACTTTATAAAACATCAATACGAAGAGAAAAGATGAATATTAATAATAGTCTGAACACCTTTAAAAAGTTATTTTGTTAATGTTTTATGAAATCAGAATGGCTCAAAATGCATATTTACTAATTTGCTTAATATATATTTTTTTTAGAGTAAGTTTTCCCTATTCAGTCAATATGCCAAAACTTTTAACTCCGACTCTTTTGATTATAAAGCTCTTGCCAATACAGACTATGTATTTATGAGGTGGAAAGAACATTTTTTAGTACCAGATCATACCATTAAGGATATTTCTGGAGCATCCTTTGCTGGTTTTTATTATATATGTTTTCAAAAGTCTAAAGCAACAATTGAGGGTTACTATTATCATAGAAGTTCAGAATGGTAAGTCCTTTGTGCCATTTTTTAATGCATTCGGAATTTCATAAATTGGAGATGGTTGATACTAATTCATAAATCTTAATTAATATTGTATCTCCATATTATGATAATTTGGAAACATTTCTATTCCAAAATGAAATTTAACTATAATGTTAAATACAAGATTAAATATATTAGTTCAATGGCAAATTTCACCAACTTCTCTAAAAATATTTTGAATTTCCAACCATTCATAGTAAAATGTAATTTGTTGAATATGCAAAGTCAAAAGTAAGCCTCTTTAAAATATTTAAATAATTTAATGGATTAAGCAGCTCAATTTGAATGTTGAAGAATAATTTTGATTTTTAATTGAAAATTAAACTAAAAATCCTTTTTAGATGTACCTACTATATTTTATTTTTACAAAAATCATTCAGTTTTATCAATTAAAGTCTCATTAAATTTTCAAAATCCTAACATTTTTTAATATAGACAGTAAAAACCTAATTTAAAGTCTAGCTATTGGTAAATATTTACTAAAGCAGTTATCTTATCATGTATGGTGTTTATTTTTCTTGCTAAAGCAATAACTTAACAGTATTCTTCCTTAACATTTTATCAATATGTAATTTTAGATATTACCAAAACACTAAATAATTTTCAAGGTTACATTAAAAAATATTTTTAATAACTAAAAGAAAAGTTAAACCTCTAGTTACACAGCAGAAAAAAAGATTGGCAAAATAATATTGAAGCATTCTTACTGTAGTTCAGGTCACGCTCCACTTAAAGCACAATGCAATATTGTGACACGCTATTTAATAACGCTTTAATAACCAAGACATCGTTATCCTATTCGCAGGCGATGACAATGTTCGGAAAGGTAAACCCATAGCTATAGAGTCACTGAATCCTTACTTCAGGAAAGTTGCAGAACCAATTTGTTTATTTGCGGACCTCCACAAAGATTTAATCGCAATATTCTTAACAGATTCATCCAACAATATGACCTTAAAATTCAATATATGCTTCGTAATTTTGAATTCTGTCATTTTATACCTTCGAAAGTTTTTTCATATGATGGTCTAATGTCCAGTTACCAGAAGCGAGAACTCCTAAAACTAATTATTTTTATTTTAAGAATCTTAAAAAAAATACTGTTAGTTGTACTCTAATAGAAACTAACTTACCGATTACACAACAACAACATTTTCTCAATCCATCGAACATATCTTAACCATACCAAAACCCCATTGTATTAAAGAATTCACAACCTCAATTCAGTGGTGACCAAACTGCTATATACTATCAAAATGTTAATGGACTATGAACGAAATCAACTGATATTTTGAATAGTATATATTATTGTAACTATGACATTATCCTTTTGAGTGAAACTTGGCTTAATGAAGACTTTCATAGTTCTAAATTTTTCTGCGATAGATATGTTGTATTCAGGAAGGGCAGAAATTATGCCCTACTCAATTGCAGCTGAGGAGGTGGAACTTTAATAACAACTTTACCTCATGTTACAACTGACAAGATTGATACTCCAACATCTACGCAATATGATGGTATTTGGTTTAAGGCTAAAATAAACAATATCAACACAGTAATTGGATGTGTGTATGTTCCTCTAAACTCGTCATTTATCTTCTTGTGATTTATGCAAATCTCTAAAAAGCAAAGTTAAAAATCATACATTCATAATATGTGGTGACTTCAATCTTCCACATGTCCAATGGGAAATTGAATATAATTTTGTTGTTCCAACTAGAATTCAACCTGCTACCGCCGAGGCTTTGATTGATATAATGTGTTTCCATAAACTCAATCAAATAAACTATGTTTTCAATTCGCTCCAACGGATACTGGATCTTATATTTGTAGACGGGTTTGAATCAATTTAATGCAAATCTAGCGATTTTTCGCTGGTGAAAATTGATCCTCTACATTCCCCACTTTTGGTTATTTCACGAATAAAAAACCTCGCTTACTTAGAGATAAACCAGTTAATGTACATCAATTCCACAGAGCCCAACTTCACTGGTCTAAACAATTTCTTTATCAACGAAATTGTAAAACAATTTTCCAACATCATAGAAATAGGTATCGACCAATATGTCCCAAAGAAGAAGATAAGAGGTAAAAAGTATCCTGTGTGGTTTGACGCTGTATTACACAAATTGATTGTTGAAAAGAATAAGCTTCATCAAACATATCGGAGGATTAAGCTTTAAAGTGGTTACATTAAATACTCCATTAAAAGGCGCGAAGTCTAATTTCCAACTGACTGGTGTTACTTAATGTTTATTTCGAACTCCAAGCACTTAATTCCACAAAACATAAAACATTTTTGGACATTTATTAAAAGTTTGCAGCGAGAGTATGGATTGCCTAATTTAATGAAGTACGGAAACAATTAACTCAGTGATCCTGAAGAAATTACAAACGTCGTTGCATCTTATTTCCAAACGTACTATTCTAAAGACGACTTAAACCGAAAAATTGATCTTCCCGTTGCACCATTTTATTCCACTTTAGCCATACACACTTTCACTTCTTGTGAAGTATCTTCTAAAATAAAAAGTCGTTATTGAAGGGGTGCTGTGACTCCTTGTCAATCCCACTTAGCCAAATTTTTGCAAAAATCATTTGATAGTGGAATATTTCCATCTGCTTGAAAGTTTTCCCACCTTATGCCAGTTTACAAGAAAGGTGATAAAAGCGATATAAAGAATTATAGAGGTATTTCCATTGTATCGATAATTCCAAAACTAACAGATGAAATGTTTTACACGTATAAAAACTATATCTCAACATGGCTTCTATCAAGGTCGCTCGACATCAACTAATCTGGCAATCTATCAAGACTTCTTAATTTCATCAATTGAAAATGGTTACCAGGTTGACACCATGTGCACCAATCTATCAAAAGCTTTTGACAGTGTCTACTCAAGAAACTCTGAGAAATCGGTATCTCTGGTTCTTATTTTTATTGGATTAAATCTTATTTGAGTAATCGGTGTCAACGTGTCATAGTGCATAATTCCATATCATGTGACATTTCAATCCTATCTGGGTGTTCCTCAAGGTTCACATATAGGTCCCTTATTGTTTCCTTATTCTTTAATGATGTTATATCCTGTTTTCTTAATATCCAATATAAATATTTCTAAGTGCAACAACCATGCATTTTACAAGCTCCCACAATCGTACTCTTAACTGTTAAAGTATTGACAGCGTCAACCTAGATAGATCATCGACAGTTATTGATCTGGGCATTATTTTTGATACCACAATATCTTTTAACTACCATATTTATTCCATAGTATGCAAAGCGATCAGAATACTTGGCTTCACCAAGAGACATACTAGGTACATGAATGACACAAAAGCAATCATGACACTTTATAATGGTCTGGTGAGAAGTGTCCTGGAATACTGTTCTGTTATTTGGCAACCTACTTACACCTACCTGTCATATCAAAAGAATTGAAAGGGTGCAATGTAAATTCGTAAAATACCTGCTCTTTAAACACCGATTTCACATGTTATCAAACAAGATTAATGCCTTGCAGCATGCAGAGTCTGGAATGCAGAAGAAAACAGGCTTTACTCCTATTCCTGGCTAAATTAATAGGTGGTTTTATCAAGTGCGGCTCACTGCTTGAGAGAGTTCATCTATTGGTTCCTGCCCGACGGACTCGGCACACATCACTTTTGAATGTAAAAAGACAGATCCAATTACGGACAAAGTGCATTTATTGATCGCTTATGCAGGAACTATATATAAATATATATTTAATTGTAATATTTTGACGCTGAAAAGGGACTTGAATGTCTTAAGTTTTACTCGTATCGTCCCGCGGTGTTGTGTTATTTTTCCGTTTTTTAATATTTTATATATATTTTTTAATTTATTTTATATTGTTTTTAACTCCTACAATCGTTTGTATTAGGTTAGATATACTGTACTATTTGGAATTTTACATTCTGTAAGTGCTACATAAATAAATAAAATACAAAAATTCCAATGGAAATGGCACAGTACGCTCACGACCTGTGACCGCAGTCTTTCTCTGTGCGGATATTTTGAACGAACCGTGAGTGAACCTTTGCGTCAGTATGTACAAGCAACAATTAAACGACGTTTGTTTTTTTATTTTCGTGTTAAGAGCAAGTTCGATGAACAACTAATTGATATAGTTGGAAATACCAAAGAATTATACAACCTAAGTGGTAAAGGTACGTTTACATCTGATATTTATTGCATGAGATTTATGTCTGACAGTTGTTTAGTCCAGTGTAAACACACAAAAATTTCTCTCAGAGATATATGTTTGAGCTCCGAGCAATTACTAATAGAGGGAGCGTGAAAACGAGTTTGTAGGCGATTGTTGTGTTAGCAACATCTGTAGAGGAAGTGAGGAAGCGGGCACAAGGGGGAAGGTAAACATCCTTCTTGTTCAGTGGCGTATCATTTATCTATAAAAACACACATTGTCCAAACGTTTTAATTGTAAAAAAAAAAAAAATTAAAAAATTTGCTAATTTTACTATTTTTAAAATGTGTTATATGTGTCTAATGCAGGAAATGAAACAAAAATCACTGTAAAGGTCTAATTTTTTCAATTGAAGAATAAAACCTTAAAATTAATTTTATTATAAATAAATACAGGAGCGACTAGTTTCGGCCTTACAGGAACATCTTCAGGCCTGTAATACGATAATCTGTAATTATTATAATAGGTTGGTCACTTACGAATAACATTAAATAGTATAAACCACAAAAATGGATCCATATTGTAGCGTTACAGCATTATAGAATTAAAGCTGTGAAAATAAAAAAGCAGTTCAAATGTAACTAAAAATAAGAAAACTGAGTACGGAATCTACAAGAGAAGAGGTGATAATAAGCAAATACGAATGCATTTAAATTGCTCGGGATAACAAATAAAGCTGATAATGTAGTGGTATAGTCCCCGTCAAAGGTCTGGATACGTTAAAGAAGACGGCGT